CATGTGGACAGCGCAGACGTCCCTTTCTCGTTGCATGCGCAACAGGGGGGCCCGCCGCCGTCTCGCGGGATGAGGGTAGGTGGAGGGGGTTGGGTGTAGTCCGATACATGCTCGCTCATCCGAAAAGGAGGAGAAACAGCCGAGAAATCACCAACTCAATCATGGGGGGTGCTCCTTTCTGGTTCCCTGGCAATCCCTGGCGCTCAACGACACCGACCAGGAGGTGGCCAGATTGCAGACCAGCAACCACATACGCAGATTATCGTGGTTTGGTGCGTTATGTTGCTGTGACTGATGGCGGCAGCTGCTGGGACAATCCGCCAAAGTCCGCCAACGGTAGGCAATCCACCTACAAGACATCCCTCCTCATCCGACGGCCATTCGCCTTGGGGCGTATGTGTCTTTTGTCAGCCGCCCACTACTGATTTGGTTGGGCGTCATCTTGACCTGGCGCGAAGAGGACGGCAGCCATCTGTGCGAGAGGACGCATCGGCAGCAACGGCCAAGGCGCCGCGCAAGTATCGGCATGAATGTAACCCGAATGCATAAACACCAACACAATCACTCGCAAGTAAATGTTGGCGCCATTCTGGTCTCTCCTGTGCTGTCCGACAGACGTCAACGGTAGGGCAGCCGGGGAGGAAGCCACTTCCCCCTGGCTGGGACAAGCCTATCGCTTTAGGCGCCAGACACTTTGACAAACAAACCCAAAAGTAAGTGACATTACACATTTCCAGCCCATCACAGAGTCACACAGAGCACTGTTGCTTTGTTTTCCCTCCCCTTTCACATCAGGCCATTGGCACAGAAAGAGGTACCACACGAAGAGGACAATCGACTCCATCTCATGAAGCCGATTTTATCATCGTCTCTCTCTCTTTCCCTCTGCTCACAGGAACGTCAAGAAAAAGAGGTGCGGAAGTTGCCGGCGGGCCGTGGGTTTGCCATCCATTCCTGTCAGTGTCCATGCGCGTGTGTTGCTGCTATGGTGTGCCTGTCAGACCGTGAGATGAAGGTCAGCGAGGCGGAGAAAGCGGTGGAGATTGAACGGAGCAGCAAGTGCGAGATCTCGAGACGGGACAGAGGCGCTACGTGAGGGAACGGAGGCCGACCAAATACACAGACGTACACCACTTATCTCGTCTCGATACGTGTGTGTGTGTTTAATGTGTGGTCGGTGCAGGAGATTCACAAGGAGGGACTTCAAGGCAAATGGAGGTGGAGTTCGCCGGGGGCGCCGCCGAGCAGTAACTGCTCGAGGAGGCCATCCGAATGGGCATGGGCATCGACTGGTCTGCCGAGGAGGAGAGGGAGGCGGAGGACGACGAGGAGGAGGAGGCCATCGCGGGCGGCGAGGAGGGCAACGACAATGTGGCTGAGAAGGAGAAGAAAAGGACAAAGAGAATGAAAAAATCATCATCATCATAATCATCTGGTGCTGTAATGGCATGTAAGTGAAGCGTCAAATCATGTCCCTCATCCATGTGTGCATCGTTGCTTGTCGTGAATTGTGTGTGTGTGTCTGTTCCTGACGCACCGTGACTGCAGCATCATCATCATTATCATTATTATTATTTTTCTCATCATGGTGGCGGCCATGCGGACAGAGAGGGGCAAAGACTGCAGGCAAGAGCTGGAGACACTAAACGGCTACGTGTAAGTCTTGACGCAGCTAAGGCGTGTTGCTGTGTCTTTATGTATCTCTCTCTCTTTCTCTCTCTCTCTCTGTGTGTGTGTGTGTGTGTTTGTGTATTTCTGGCTGCAGCAAGGCACACAGTCCACCGATATCAGGGGGAGAAGGGCAATCGGACGGACCATAGCCTGTTCGTCATGGCTGGCGCCAAGGAGCGTCATGATATGGGTAACATCCTCGGCGCACATCCAGTGCAATACTACGACGTAAGCCAGGGATGAGGGCGGGCGCGAAGGCATGTGATGCATGCATGAAATTCACTCCTCACTGCGTGGGCGTTGTGTTGTCATTTATGAGTGCAGCAATCCAGCCATGTGCACAAGGTGGCCAAGCGAGAGCAGCGTCCAAGTATGATAGCGATGGATACGCCACGAGCATCACGGAGCTGTTCAAGCCGCAGATGGCACAGGAGAAGGCGACGGTGGTAGGTCACTCAATCAACCTGGCCAGACAGCCCTTTGTGGACACTCTCGTCCCTTCGCCTCATTGTTTGGTCCTGTTGCTGACTGGCTGTGTGTGCAGCATGTGAGAGTGGACCGCGCCGAAGCGCCCGACAAGAATCTCCTTTACACCAAGGGCGAGAGGCGCTATGCGAGGGATCGGCGGCCGACCAAATACACAGACGCACACCAACTCATGGAGGTGAATGCCACAAGCAATTAAGCGATCAACTTGATCATTTATCTCGTCTTAACACGTGTGTGTGTGTGTGTGTGTGGTTTGTGCAGCATATTCGGAAGGAGGGCCTGAAGGAAAAGATGACTGTAGAGTTCGCCGGGGGCCGCGCCGAGCCGCAGATGCTCGACGAGGCCATCCGCGCGGGCATGGGCGTCGACTGGGCGGTGGAGGAGAGAAACGTGGACGTGGAGGAGGAGGTGGACGAGGAGGAGGCCATCGACGGCGGGGAGGAGGGCGACGGCACTATGGCCGAGAAGAAGAAAAAGAAGAAAAAGAAGATAATCATAATCATCATCATCATAATCATCTGGTGCTGCAACGGCATGTAAGTGACCGGAGACTCTCGAAATGTCCCTCGGTCTCTACATGGGTGATCGGCGTGATGTGTGTCTGTGTCTGACTCGTTGCAGTATCATTACCATCATCATTTTTCTGATCATGGTGGCCTACATGCGCCTGGAGGCGGGGGAGGACTGCACACACGAACTAGAGACACTCAAGAGACTACGGGTAAGTCTAATTCACCACCGATGGATGAGTGGATGGTTGACACATGTGTTTATCCCTCTGCGTGTGTGTATTTGGCTGCAGCAGGGCACACAGCCCGGTGTGAAGGGCAAATGCGACCTCACCGACCCCAACAAGGTATGCACACACCAACACAAAAGGACGTACCCACACCAACTCACCCACTCATCGGTATGTCTCCCTGTATTTTGTGTCACAGTGTATGAGTACATCAAGAAGGAGTTCCCCAGCCTGACGCCGTGTAAGCACCAGTCAAACACACATACCTGTGTGGTCCACACATCCATCCCCATCGATATCATGTGTGTCTCTGTCTGTCGTGTCTCACTCACCACAGTCGGCTTCCTGCTGTCGGCCATGATTAGCGGCGGGCAGATGGTGTCCGAGTTCTTTACGAGCTGGCACAAGGCCATGGGGATCGTCCAGGCATGTGACAACGACCTGCACCAGGTGAGTGCCTGCCACGAGAGACCCACACTCGCACACCGACAGACATAGATTGATGCTGTGTGTTGTGTTGTGTTGTGTGTGTGTCAGGTGGTGAGGCACATTGAGGCCAACTGCAGAGGCCCGTTCCCCCGCCAGCTACCGGAGCTGCTGATGGATGAGATCAACTCTCTCCTGGCGCAGCCGGTGCTGGCGGGAACGAACGACAAGGGCGAGGAGGTACGCACACCGAGAGCCGTGAAAGCAGACACACATACATATAGCTCACCACTCACGCGTCTGTCATTACTTATGCAGCTGGTAAGGTCATTCATACCTATCTCGAAGAAATACTGGGCCGCCTACCTCAGCGTGGAGCTATACGAACGCCCCAAACAAGACTTCATCCGCCTGGGTATGCATGTGTCACGCACCACCTGACTGCCCATGTTTTTTATCTGTGTCTCCTATTGGTGTGGCATGTGCAGGCGTTGGTGTGCCCTGCCAGGTGACAGTCCAGCAATACAACAAGGGCATCCCCGCTGCCGTCCGTCCCACCGCCCTGCCGCCATCACACCTGTCCGACGAGCAGCTCGCCGCCCACGCGGCACTAGGCCGGATCCGCGCTCCCGAGGCCACCGAGCACCTGGAGCGGCGGCGTGCCCGCCAGGCTGCTCAGACAGTCAATCTGGCCGTCACTGATGGCGCCAAGGAGGATGCGGGAGAGACTTAGCAGAAGGGCGGAAGGCCATCGCAGTGTGTGAGAGGGCCACAGCCATCCCTAGCTACTGTCCATCCATCCCATCCCGTTGCAGACAGATCCTAGAAGATCCTCTTCTATTCTATCGTGTTTGTCGTTGGGGGCTGCCAAGTCAGTGGCGGATGATCCAATTCGTGGATCGCTGCTTACATTTTATATCCGTTGGTTGTTTGACTTCCAGCACGGGTGGGTGCCGTAATGAGAGACAAAGGACGCACGAACGATCTTGACCGTCACGACTGCAATTCCGGCTCATGACGTGAAGGAACGTGTCTCTGTCTCTTACCATAGCATCATGCATGTCTCACTGCACACCAATTAACGACTTACAAAAGGGCCAGGACGCTCCACGTCCCTCCGTCATGCCCACCCCTCCCTCAGTCTGCATTGCTATCAGCGTGTGTTGGATGCTAACCTTCCTCCAACCGCTGCCGCCAATTTTTAATTGAAGTGATGTCCCCCTCACTTTCGGCTGAGTGTAGTGTCTGTGTGTTGGTCTGATGAATGAGTGCAATGAACACAACAATATGCGGCTGACCGACATGCGGCGGTTCTGTTTCAATGACTGCGTTGGTGACGTGTGGCGAGGGGTCGACGTGCTAGTGACTTTAAAGCGTGCCGTTGATGGACTTCTTTGATGTGTCCATCTGTGAGTAATCTGACTGATATCTATGTGTGGGATCTGTGACTGACTGATTGACTGACTGACCGACCCACAGGCTGGCTGATTGCTGCCCAGTGAAGACATCCACGTGATCTGGAGGATGCAGACATTAAATCGCAGCCACTCACTCAGGTATGTTTGTATACACCATCGATATGCACACGCATCAAGCTCTAAGCACACACACAGCGAAGTACCGCACAGCCAGCCACTGTGAGCCGTGGTGGCTGCGAGGGAAGCCCTCTGTTCCCGCTAACCAGCCACTCACTCATCTGTCTGTCTGTCCTCCCACCCCACCGCTATAAGCTGCACCCCGTCGAGGTGTTGTCTCACACCAGCATCCATCCCTCTACGGCTGTCTCAGCAACCTTGGACATGGGCCGCTGAGTGACCATTTGACAGGCGACACACACAGCCAGCCAGACAGACACTCAAGGCACGTCGTGGGTTGTGGTGTGTGTGATGTGTGTCGTACCTATGTGGCGGCACTGCGGCGCTCGACCCACAGCCCATCGGCATCGAGGCTGAGCTTGTATGGCCCGCTGTTGAGGAGGCTGATGCCCGCCTGCTGAGCCATGAAGCGCCGCTGGAAGTCGGTGCACAGGTCATCGTCCCACAAACGCACATATGCCTTCTTGTGACCCTGTCGCAGCCAAGCGGACGAATGGCGTACCCACGCTGCCTGACAGCTGTGTCGGTAGTGTGGTGTTCTATATGACTTACCTTGAGCTCGTCAGTGAAGGAGGTGATCGTGGCCATGATGTTGTCGCAGAACTTCTCAAACTGGTCATCCTGTACACCATCTAAAGCAAATCAACAAGCACCCTCACTGCCTGCTGGTTCTCCCATGCGCTCCCACCCCCTCACCAAGCACGGTGATCGTCACTTCCTCGACCGGCGGCAAGTTGCCGTTGGTGCGACGCCCCCACAGACAGGGGCTCTGGTCAGTGTGCACGGGCTCCGCGACTGCACTTGCCGACAGATACCAATACACCACCGACAGGCTCCTCTCCTTGCCCCTGCTGACCAACGCCGCCTGCAGCCGCTCGAGGAACCGCCACACCTCCCCCGCCGGGGCATCCAGCTGTAAGCCGAATTCCAGGTCTCCTATGTCGACGCACGACAGCCTCGGCATGTGCGAGGCGATCTCGACTGCGCGTCTCACGTTGCCCTCATTGGCGAGGGCACCATCAAAGAGCAGCAGTGTGTGGGCGGCGGGGAATGTGTCGGCTGTGGCGGCCACACGATGGGTCTCGTCCCCTCCCCTGTATGTCACTGTGCCGGCTCTCTTGGCGAAGTCGCGAATGAGCTGCTGGGCGGCGGCGGGGCCGGTGCTGCTGCGCGAGAGGAGCTCCGCGTCAATCCGTCCACACCCGTTGTTGTGGAGCTTCAAGACGCCCTTCTGCACTGCCTCGGGATGGGCGATGGCGTCACTGATCGAAGGCAAAGCACAGGAATGAATTGAGCTGTCTGCATTTCCCCGCCCCTCTCTCTCTGTTGTGTCCTTACATGAGCCGTGCAACTCTTTGCGACCGCTCCACAGTCTCATCCCACATCCACCCCATGTCGATCTCGAGCTCGCGAATGGACCGGCTGACGCCCCTCGCCACCATCACCTCACGCAGCCTGTCGATGCCCGCGAGACTGCTCTCATCCATCCAGACGCCCCGGAGTGTGCGAAGCGCCGCGAGTGACTGGCCGTCGGCGGGCAGCCCACTCAGCACACCGGCCACCTCGTCTGCGTCCAATACGTCAGCGAGGTCGAGCACCTCAATGGCCTCACCCGCCACCCATGACCTCGCACCCTCCACTGACGGCAACCACAACCGTTGCGTGGTGAGCGACTTGACGGCAGGTGTGCGCCACTGGCGGCCCACGCGAGCCGACAGGAAGGGATTCGGGATGTTGTCGACGGTCTTGAGTGCCGGCAGGTGGACGGGGGCGGCGGGGGCGGGGGGCAGACGATACGAGGGGCGCGGGTCGGGGATGTCAACGCTGTCGTCGAGCTCGACGTGCTCGAATGCCAACACCTCCAATGTGCCCTCGTCAGGCGAGTGGCTGCCGTTGTCATCTTGCGCCATCGCCGCAGCGTCAGCTGTCCCCTGCGCTCCCTCCCTCTCTTGTCTCTTCTTCTCTGCGATGGCCTTCCGCCCGTTGGAATGACCCTCCACCAATGCCACCCACGTCCCGCGGCACCATTCGCCTCGCCACCGGGTGGGGTAGCGGTGCTTGATCTCTCGCACGTTGGTCGCCCTCTCACCCCATCTCTGGGCCACGGCCAGCGGCATGGTCTCCCACATGCGCCGCGCCGTGTCGTCCTCACAGTCGATGACCAGGTGGGTGTAGTTGGCGGCCGACTGATGGAAGAGGGGCGTGCCGAGACGCCGGCGGTGGCGCGTCAGCTCCCAGGGCTGCAGGTGGCCGAACACGTTGGCCAACTCGTCACGGGACAGCCGACGACGGGCCTGAAGTGACAATCAACAGGACATCAAAGTAAGGTCAAGATGGTTCGATGTATCACATGTATCATGGTGTCGTCCTTACCGGTCCTTGGTTGTTGACAGGTGGAGGGTTGCCCCTTCGATGGATCAGACGATAAGACGGACCACTGGCCACAGGCGCCTGCAATGCAACAAGACAACATGACAGCAACAACAAGGCAGAGGGCGGATCTATGCACATATGGCAATGGACGGCCACCCACTCCACCTCACCTGTGGCTCTGTGTGTGCGGCCCCCGATGCAGCAGCAGCAGCGGCGTCGGTGGTCGAGGTGGGTGCATCTACAGCTACAGCACTGGCGAGGCTGGGCTCTCTCTGCTGGAGCTTCGGGGGAAGAGTATCCAGGAGGCAGGCCACGGAGCCCAGCTGATAACTCAACGCCAACCCCACCGGCGACGATGCCTGCACCAACGAAGGACACAGTGAGCGGCTCCTCTGTGATCCAGGCCTCTCCGTCAGTGAGTGTTATCCACCTGTGCAGCGATGGTGGCGGGATCTTGGTCGAGGTGCAGCGCCAAGCTGTCCTTCACAGTACGGGCATTCGCAACAAACTGAACGCTGAGAGAACAAAGCACGTCAAAAAGGAGAAATCGAAAGAACGGCGAAGGCGCCTTTTTCCGCCTGAGTTCTCTCCTGTATGTGTGTGTCGCCCTGTGCCCTGCCTTGTGAGCCTTCCCGCGTCGCACATTCACCTGATTGACGTCCATCAGATGTGCTGGATGTGGAGAACCAGCCACAAAGCTATCAGACAGCAAAGGCGGCAGCAATCAAACCCCTGCAATGAGAATGCATCCCAACTCGCAAATGGGAAGTTACACGCCGGTGGGTTAGTGTCCTGTTCTCGCGATGATTTGAACAGCATGTAGAACCATCGCGAGAACAGTGCAACACCTTCCATCCATGCAAACATGCAACACCCGTATCCACCGGCCGGCCGAGAGACAATCAGACAAACATGCAATGACATCCAACGT